TGTCTTCAACACAACGACGACATTAATAGCTCAGATGTGTTGAGCCCTTGCCGCGTGCATTGATTGCTAAAGTGCTTAGAGCGTGTGCTAACTCCTTCAGTTCTAATCATAGTTAACACTGCTTTATAGACGGGGAAACGGAGGCCCCGGGAGGTCCGAGGCTGCAGAGCTCAGTAGTTGGGGAGCAGGGCTTGTCCCTGGGGCCGTCAGCCCCTCTGCCAAGCCTTCAGCACCCTCCAGGTGTAGGACGTGCAGGACACTATCCCAGATTCTCCATGGCCATCCTGCCAGGTGGGTGTTTGTATTCCTGTTTCTAGGTGAGGCTCAGAAACCAAACGGTGCTTCAGGCAGGGGCCACTGCAGGACTGGCCCGACTCCCACGGGCGGGCTCCTCCCAGCTCACCTGCCACCTGTGCTGTGTGTGCCTCCCAGGTGCTCCTGCGATGCTCACCACTGGGCTCTGACACAGGAATCCCCGTGGCTACCTCTGTCGGGATGTAGAGACGCGGTCAATGGCTTCCATGTTCCCTGTGCAGCAGCTGCCCAGGGAATGCTCTGTGCCTGCCTGCAGGGTTTCCAGGCAGCTCCCAGTGGGGTGGGAGGGAGGAGACCAAATGAAGCCATTGAAGTGTGGCACCAGTGCACCTGGTTCTTAACACCTTTCAATATAGAAATAGGGAAAGAATCTGAGATGTGAAATGAGTATCAGGCGAGTGAGAGAACAAAGGAAAGCAGGACAATGGAATGGCAGAGCCGTCCAGCCGGAGACGGACAGGGGACCCCAGAGCAGGTGTCCAGCTTGGTAACCTGGTGTGGCCACAGGGACATGGCGTATGGGGTCCATCCTTGAGCCGGGAGGGAGTTGGGGGTGGAGGGGTCTAGCTGTCCTCCAGTGCACAGAAGCGGGCTCGATTGGCCGGGTCCTGGCAGGTGTGTGAAATGAGCGAGAAGGGGGACATTTGCCGTCTCCCCAGAGCCCACCTGTCCCGCCTGCGTCCCCCGTCCCTAGAAGACCTCGCATCCTCTTGTCCCTCAAGGAGGCAGGGAGCTCTGTGAACCTCCCAGCAAACATGCCCTTGAGCCATCGTCACCCGCTGCCTCCCAGGGTGCACATTAGCACAAAGCTGCATCTCAACCAGGAACTCGGATAGAGGCTGCTGTGTCAGGCGCCTGCCCCAGGAACAAATGATTTTAGGACAAATTGTTGGAGAGGAAGGGGACAGGGTGGGGGCTGGCGAGGAGGGGACGTGGGGCCTTGGACCTGGCGTGTCTGGGCCTGGCTGTCAGTGTCCGCCAGGCCCTCCAACCTGGGAGTTCCAGGGCGGCCACCATCCCGCCAGCATCAGAGGAGACACTGTCGCTCCCCCATTTGCGGAGGAACGACACTAGACCCTGCGCTGTTCTTTTGTCTGCTCGGCCCTTCCCGGGTTAGCTGCCGGTCCCCCACCCACGGAGGAACGACGCTGTCCTGGGTTAGCTGCCGGCCCCTCCACGGAGGGGGCGGCACCCCCCGCCGCTTTCCCCGCTTCCACGGGGGAGCGGCACACCGCCGGCCGGCTCTCTCGGGGGCTGCTCAGGTGTTCCTTCAGGTGTTCCTGGTGCATGTTGTCTCTCTCCTCCTTTATAGTCCTCTTCCGCCAATCCCAACTCTGCTACCCACACGCTGAGCACGCTGCTCTCCTCCAATCAGGAGCAGGATCAGCTCCTGCAGCTTATCAAACTGATGAGGCAGCTGCGTAGAGGCTGTTTGGTCTCTCTCCCAGCGCCATATTGTGGGAGAGCAGATGCATAGAATAAGTCTTAATTCCAGTAACTTAGTCTAGTCTCAGTTGCTCCCCACAGACACGAATGCTGCATCCCACCTTGTACACCCCCCTGGCTCTCACAGGGCTGCTGTGAGGTTGGAGGGATCGAGTTAGACGGGACGTCTGGGCAAAGACATCAGGCAGGCTGGTATGGACTCTGCTCGGTCAGGGGCTGACAGTCTGCCACGGAGGGGGAGGTCTACTGCTGCTGCCGCCAGCTGACACCCACCACTCAGGGCCCCTCCTCCCGCCCTGCACAAGGTCAGGGGCCTTGTGCACTGCCGTGGCCATTGGGCAAGGACACTGGTGGCCCCCACCTGGCTGCCTCAGTTGCTTGACCTGAACTCTGTGTCTCGATGTCCAGGGAACCAAAGGCGGGCTGGCCAGAGCGCAGGCCAGTCACTGGAGGAGCCCGGATGCTGGTTATTCACCAGGCACTCAGTGGGCCTTCTGGGTCGCTACAACCTCCAAGGACCCGCTGCAGGGAGAGGCTAGGCATTGGTCACAGCCAGGTCCCAGTCCCTGTCCCAGCACCAGCTTGTGCACGGCCCAGGTGAGGCCCTCCACCTACAGAACAGGGACTGGAAACCAGGTGAGAGGGAGAAGCGCGCTTGCCCCATGGCCGGGCTGTCAGTGAGCTGGCCAGGGAGGTGGAGCGGGCGTGGTTCTTCCCGGCAGATGAGGGTGTGGACCGCACCACTGCCCCTCCACGAGGATGGCTCCCTCCTTCCTTCTTCCCCCAGTGGACCCAGAGCCTGCGGTGGGCTTGGGCGGTGGTGCATGTGGGCATCATGATTCGTCTTTTGTCCCTGTGTGCTGTCCTCTCATCACCGAGGTCTGAAAATCTACGCAGTGTGGGGGCATCAGCCGCAGTGGAGCCAAGTGTGTGGCAGCTGGAAGCAGGGGGCCCCCTCCTGTGGCTGGAGGCTGCCCCTGAGCCCCGTGGCTGCATTAGCAGAATGGGGGTACCGATGGTGTCGGGAAACTGGAGCTTGGTGCTGCCTGAGTCCTGTCGCGTTCCTCCTGTCCGTGTGGGGTACAGCTTGAGGCGTGGGGATGAAGAGCTTGCTTGGGGTGCACAATCTGACGGGCTGGGAGCCAGTGGGCTTGGATTAGTGACGGCGGGGGAGGGGCCCCGGGGCTGATTTTCATCCCAGAGCCTCTTGGTCACGGGCCTGGCTGTTCGGAACTCACTTTCTTGGTCCAACTTGTGCTCATTGATGGCCTGGGCGTCTCCTGGAGGACCAGCCCCCCAGGCGGGCTGCTGCTCACCCATGGCTGCCCACAGCAGCATGGGTCCTGGTGCCCAGCGACTTCCTCGGCTGTCCCAGAGCCTGTTCTCGTCTGAGACCTCCGGGGGCTTTCCTCTGCCCTTGTCCCCCACTCCCCTTCTTGTAGCCTGGCCGAGGGGAGAGCGCATGCCGCAGGGTGCTCTGCCAGCCCCAGAAGCTTGGGGTAGGCTGGCCTCTGGGAGGGAGGCGGGCGGAAGCACCTGCATCTCACATCACGGTGCCTGGGTTCAACCTCTGGCTCCAGCTCCTGCCTGCAGCTTCGCACTTGGTGCCAATGTGGATGGACCCTGGGAGACAGCAGCAATGGCTGAAGTACCTGGGTCCCTGGCCCAGTCCCAGCTGTTGGGGACATTTGGGGAGCTGTTGGAGGATGGGAGCTGTCTCTGTCTCTCTATCTCCCCCCCGCCAATAAATACTTTTTTTCTTTAGGATTTTATTTATTTATTTATTTGAAAGGCAGAGTTACAGAGAGGGAGAGACAGAGAGAACGATCCTCCATCTACTGGTTCACTCCCCAATGGCTAGAACTGGGCCAATCCAAATCCAGGAGCCAGGAGCTTCTTCTGGGTCTCCCACATGGGTGCAGGGATCCAAGCACTTGGGCCATCTTCTGCTGCTTTCTCAGGGCATAACAGGAAGCTGGATCAAAAGTGGAGCAGCCAGGCCGGCGCCGCGGCTCACTAGGCTAATCCTCCGCCTAGCGGCGCCGGCACACCGGGTTCTAGTCCCGGTCGGGGTGCCGGATTCTGTCCCGGTTGCCCCTCTTCCAGGCCAGCCCTCTGCTGTGGCCAGGGAGTGCAGTGGAGGATGGCCCAGGTGCTTGGGCCCTGCACCCCATGGGAGACCAGGAAAAGCACCTGGCTCCTGGCTCCTGCCATCGGATCAGCGCGGTGCGCCGGCCGCAACGCGCCGGCCGCGGCGGCCATTGGAGGGTGAACCAACGGCAAAGGAAGACCTTTCTCTCTGTCTCTCTCTCTCACTGTCCACTCTGCCTGTCAAAAAAAAAAAAAAAAAAAAAAGTGGAGCAGCCAGGACCCCAAACGGCGTCCATATGGGATGCCGGTGCCACAGCGCTGTCCCCTCAAATAAATACTTTTTTAAAAAGAGAAACATTTTGCAGAGAGCTGCCCCTCAGTGGAGGGTAACTCTGAACAAAGCCAGAGCTTGTTCCAAGATGATTTTAGCAAGAGGTGCAAGCAGATGTTCACTGCACACCAACCTTGTGCCAGGCAGCGTGCTGGGCCCTGGCTCCGGGTGGGCAGGCCTGGCCCAGGGCCAGCAGTGGGCTTGCTGCCTGCAGGACTGTGGCTGGACCAAGCCAGGGCAGTTTGCTCCCAGGCTGGCATCTCACCCTGTGGCCGGGAGTTACTGTGGAACTGGTCCTACTGTGTGCCAGCCGCCAACGTGAATTGGCTCGTTCCTTGGCTCGTTCCGACCACATGGCGCTCCCGTGAGTTTCTGTTGCCACCCCTGATTCACAAAGGAGAGGGCTGAGGCCGGGAGAGGGTCTGCGATGCACCTGGGGGGCACACTGTGCAGAATTCCTGTTCTACGCTCCATAAACCCCACTGGGGCAGGGCCAGCGTTCTGGGAGGCCACGCAGTGTGGATGCGGCCTTCGTGCGAATCACCAAGAAGCCTTCTGCACTTCCTGTGCCGGCTCCGCCGGCTAGCAGGTGCCCCCCGTGACGTGCCCAGCCTTGGGAGGTCCAGGGACCCTCATGAGTCAACCCCTGGGCCTGATCCCCTGCTTGGTGTTCTCAGACTCGGGGTCTCGGGGTCTGGGCCTCCCCACACCACGGTCCCTGTGGTCCTGGCCCTGCCACCGGACGCGTCTGTGTGTGGTGCGAGTGTTAGCACCAGCGGGCAGCCTTGCTTATCCTGTCCCCCTGTGTCTCCCACAGGGCAGCGAGGTCCCAGGCCCCACCTTTGCTGATGGCGAGCTCATCCCCACGGAGCCCGGCTTCTTTCCCGAGGACGAGGAGGAGGCGATGACGCTGGCCCCTCCCGAGGGCCCTCCCGAGTCGGACATGGACAGCCCCATGGAGAGCACCCAGGGCCTGGAGGGCCCCGTCGGGAGTGCCGGCATGGAGGAGCGGGGCCCGGGGCTCGGGGGCCTGTTTCTGCCAGACCACAAGTGAGTTAACCCCGCGGGAAGCTCAGTTGCTACCTTGTGAATTCTGGACCCGGAAATGGCTGCGCTCCTCGGAGACCGTGGCCAGGAAGTGGGCGTCAGGCGCCCTCGAGGTGTGCCCCGCAGGCCTTGCTTTCCGGAGCTTTCTGAATGGCCAGAAATCCCAAGCAGCCAGAATGCCAGCAGCAGGGATGGTTCACATTAGGAATTTTAGGCAGCTGTGCAAAGTCAAGTTTTAATTGGCTAATTACTGATTTGGGATATTTTATCTTGGTTGGTTTTAAACAGCAGGCTACAAGGATGTCAATGAGGCATGATGTTAGCTTTGTTTAAAAAAAAAACACATACCTGTGTATTAGGACATGCCTGGGAGAAGTGATGCGAAACAAGTAAGCAGCTATTTCTGAAAGGTGGGCTTGGTATCGATCACTGTAACTCCCTCGCGTGCACCCCGTTGATCCTGAGCCCCCGCAATGCTGCTTGCAAATCGTGGTGAGACGCGAGCGACTTCCCAAGGGAAAAACGCCGTCTGCTTCTGGTGTGGCAGCAGGGGTCGCTTCCGGGTTCAGCCCTCGCCAACTCTGGGATGCTGTGCCCTGGGGTCACGGCTGGGGGTGACGACCCACAGGTCAGAGAAGGTGACAGCTGCGCTGACCCGGGGCTTTGGAGAGGGGAGAGAGTGGGCTCCCAGTATCGGCTGAGCCATGGGACACTGCCAACTTTTCCTCATTTTCAACCTCAACGAAAGGTTTCGTGTGGGTTCTGCCAGATGCGTTTTCTCAGTCTAGGGCTTGTGGTTCTGGGAGCCGTGGTGCTCCTGGGGGCCCTTGGCGTTCTCTCCCTCGGGAGAGTTCCATGTTGCCTCCAGGGCAGCGGAGTTGCGGATGGCAGCCCTGCTCACCTCGTGGCCACTCCCCTGCCACCACTCCCCTTGTTTTCGGGAGCTGATCACCAGGAGGCAAGCCAGCAGTGGGTGTCAAGGGTTTTAGTAAAGTTGTTAAGAGGAAGAGTTGAGGCGTACGATTGATTCACCCTGAAGTGCTAGGGAGCCGGAGGGCAGACAAGTAAGAGCATAAAATCCGGCCGGGGTGCTGGCAGCGTGGCCCCCGGCACCCTGTCCTCCACTCTGGGCTTCCTCCCAGCACAGCCCCAGCCTTGCCGCTGCCTCACCCCATCCCACCTGTGTCTCGCTGGTTCAGGTTTCCCAGGTCGGAAGGGGAGTACCAGCCCCGGCCTTGGGGAGCAGGTGCTCCTGACCCAGCGGCTCACTGTCACTGATTTTCAGGCTTGCTTCCGTTGTAAAAGGCGTGCGTGCTAATAAGACAAGAACGAAGGGGGAAGAGAGAGAGCCCCACACCACACCCTTTAGTGTTCTTGGGATTCCTGCTTCTCCATCTCCTGTGCACACTGTCCCCTACTTCTTACTTACGTCCTCTTTCCCACGTTAGTGGCCAAGATTTTTACAAACCTCTCAGCAGCGATTTGACTTCCGCAACGTGGCAGTCCCCAGGTTAATCCAGTCACCGTCATTCCCTGTAGCCAGAGCCAGGCTTTGCTGCCGCTCCGGGGCTGTAGGGGCCTGTGATGAGGCGCATTCTTCAGGGCGGGGTCGCCAGGGCGTCCTGAGCTCCCAGTGCCTGCAGTGCCCCCTGCCCCCAGGTCTCTGATGCACGCCCCATCGGTGACGACATCCGACCTGTCCACGCACTCCACTGCCTCGCTCATCAGCAACGAGGAGCAGTTTGAAGACTATGGAGAGGGTGACGACGTGGACTGTGCCCCCAGCAGCCCCTGCCCCGACGACGAGACCAGGACCAATGTCTACTCAGACCTGGGGTCCTCCGTGTCTTCCAGGTGGGGGAGGTGGCCATCCTCCCCGCTCCCCACCCTGTCCTCAGCTGCATGGGTCCTGAGAGCGCTGCCCTCACACCCCTTGACTGGGGGCCTGGAGTTCCTCCCCACCCCTTCCATTTTGGGGAAGAAACAGAATTAACTGAGCTAGGAGGCTGCACCAGGGGTGGGGGTGGGGTCTATGTCATCTCGTTCCCCGGAGCCTCAGGGTTAAAGGGTCATTCCAAGTGACCGTCTGTGATTCCTTCTCACCCACCTGAGTCAGTACTTACGACCTTAGGTCTCAGTTTGCCTTGTCTGCTAAATGGGCACAACTCGCTGCTGCTTCTCAGAGCAGCAGAGAAGGGAGGCCCTGTGGCTGTACTTCCCCACTGCCCCGCCCTGGTGCCCCAGTACCCTGGAGTCGGCAGGGTCAGGGAGGAGGGGGGCTGGGCTGCGGCTCAGGAGGTGACCTCTCTCCCTGCACGAGCCAGTGCGGGGCAGACCCCCAGGAAGATGCGGCACGCCTACAACAGCGAGCTGCTGGACGTGTACTGCTCTCAGTGCTGCAAGAAAATCAACCTGCTCAACGACCTGGAGGCCCGGCTGAAAAACCTCAAGGCCAACAGGTGAGGCCCCGGGGCCAGCAGGGCCTGGAGGGAGAAGCTGAAGGCAAGGTGGCCGCTCAGGGCCGGGCCGGGCTGGGGCTTCCGTGGCAGGGAGAAGTGGGCGGTTCTTCTCAGGACCAGGCACTGCTGCAGAGTGCCTTCAGGGGAGGCCACACCCCGTCCCTCACTTGGGGTCCGGCAGCCAGGCAGAGGCTAGCCGCTCTGATCAGTGACTGCTTCCTCTCTCCCCCCTCTAGCCCCAACCGCAAGATCTCGAGCACGGCCTTCGGACGGTAAGGGCCCCGGTGGGGAGGACGGGCGGAGCGCCGTCCCCTGCACCTGCTCCTGCTCTCCGGAGGGGCCGGGGCTCTGTGCCAGCAGCCCCACCCCGCAGTGCCCTGTGTGTGACTGAGAGAACAGAGGGGCACGGGGAGGGCTACCTCCTTATAGGGGGTTCCTAGAGGCCCCCTGGGGTCTTGGATGCTGGAGGGGCTCTGCAACCAGGTGCCCCCCCTCCCGCCCCCTCCCCGCAGGCAGCTCATGCACCACAGCAACTTCAGCAGCAGCAACGGCAGCACCGAGGACCTGTTCCGGGACAGCATCGACTCCTGTGACAATGACATCACAGAGAAGGTGCACCCTGCGTGGGGGGGGAAGGGGCTCCCAGGGGTTGTGGGCAGTAAGAGACCCCATACCCGCCCAGGGGTTGGGGCCTCAGTCCCCACCACCCCGTCCCCACCCTCCCCAACATGACTGCTGTCCGGCACGTTTGGGGGTGCTAAGCCTCGCAGTTGCTAGGTTCTCAGGCCTGTGACCTCAAAGGTCGTCTGCTACTCCTGCCCCCGGGCTGCAGGTGAGCTTCCTGGAGAAAAAGGTGACGGAGCTGGAGAACGACAGCCTGACCAACGGGGACCTGAAGAGCAAGCTGAAGCAGGAGAACACGCAGCTGGTGCACAGGTCAGCCGCACGCCTGATGCCAGCGGGGCAGGGCTGAGGCAGCGGGTGTCGCCTTGTCCTTCCTGCTCCGAGGAGCAGGACCTTGACTCCAGGCATCCCCAGGTCTGCAGCCCTAGGGCAGGCCCAAGGCGGGAGTTGGGACCCACTGCCTCTCCCCGCCATCCAAGGACAAGAGGGAGAGGCCAGCGGGAGTGGCGCGGTGGGCGGGGCCCAGGCAGCACTGTCACGGAGCACTTCCTGCTGCTGCCCGCGAGGGGTGGGGCACAGAGAGGTCTGTCGTCCTCGCCAGGCAGCAGGAAGCTGGCAGATGACCCCGATCTGGGACCTGCTCCTGAGCCTTCTGACGCGGAGTGTCTTACCCTGCCTGGTGTACTGACCAGGCCAGCTGCGGTGGGGCCGGAGTACCGGCGAGGGGCTGGCCCTCTCCCAGGCCTGGCACACCTGGGGCCACCAAGCCAGGGTGTGCCTGTTTTTGGAGGCAAGATGCCCAGTAAGCCGAGTTCTTGATCAGAGGGTGCCGGCCAGGAAAGGAATACAGCGAGAAGAGGTGGGCATGAGGCTGTTTGTCCAGGCGTGGCCAGGCCCACTGTACACCCGTACTGTCCCAAGTGTCCCACCCACTCAGCACAACCCCACTCCCCGCCCTGGACCTCTGCCAGGCCCACACCTGACAGGTCACTGACGTGTGTCTTTTCTGATGTCCTGGTATCTCATGCACCTGCTGGCTCACCAGCCTGGTAGACACACTGACGCCTCCCTCGGCAGGACTTCACTGACTCGGGGCCCAGCGTGAGCTGACGCGGGCCACGGCGGCTTTCCCTGGACTGAGGTTGCTCCCCCTCCTCAGGGTGCACGAGCTGGAGGAGATGGTGAAAGATCAGGAGACCACGGCCGCACAGGCGCTGGAGGAGGAGGCCCGGCGACACCGCGAGGCCTGCAGCAAGCTGGAGAGGGAGAAGAGCACGGAGCTGGAGCTGCTGCATAGCAGGTGCGCCCTGTGGACGCGCCCGGGCCTGCCGGCCGGACACATCACACCCACGATATGGATGGGCAGACTGAGCCAGAGAGGGGCTCAGGGCCTCGGGTCTACTTTTTTTTTTTTTTTTTTTTAAAGATGTACTTTATTTATTTGAAAGGCACAGTTCCAGAGAGAGAAAGTAAGAACTGGGGAGAAGGATCTTCCATCCGCTGGTTTACTTCCCAGCAGCTGCAATGGCAAGGCCTGGGCCAGACCAAAGCCAGGAGCCAGGAGCTTCTTCTGAGTCTCCCACGTGGGTGCAGGGGCCCAAGCACTTGGGCCATCTCTGCTGCTTTCCCAGGAACATTAGCAGGGAGCTGGATCAGAAGTGGAGCAGCTGGGACTCGAACCAGCGCACATTTGGGATTCTGGCATCACAGGCGGTGGCTTGTTCCACTGTGTCACCATGCTGGCCCCAGATAGTTCTACATTTTAGATCTTAGAACACACAGGCAGGTTCTCTAGGAAGGATGTAGAAGAATGTTCACAGTAGCATGGTTCATACGAGGGGACTTCAGAAAGTTCATGGAATCTGCAGTAAGAGAAAGTTTAGGGGCAGGCGTTGGGCCTGGCAGTTGAGATACCGGTTAGGTTGAGTTGCCTGCATCCCACAGCGTGCCTGGGGTTGGTGCCTGGCTCTGCTCCTGGCTGCAGCTTCCTACTAGTGGGGACCCTAGGAGGAAGCTAGCGCTAATGGCTCAGTAACTGGAGTCCTGCCACTCATGTTGGGGACCTGGATTCAGTTCCTGGCTCCCAGCTTCAGCTTGGCCCAGTCCCAGTGACTAGAGGAATTTGGGGAGTGGGCCAGAGGGTGGGAGGTCCCTCTGTCATTCTCTCTCTGTCTTTTCTTTTCTCTGTCTCCATCTTTCCTTCTCTCTCTGCCTCTCAAATTGAAAAGCAGAAAAGCACCAGTTTGAGTCCCAGCTGCTCCACTTCCTGTGCAGCTCCCTGCTAATGCTCCTGGGAAAATGCATAAGATGGCCCACATGCTTGGGCCCCCGCACCCACGTGGAGAGACCCGTTGGCCTAGTGCCAGCCATCATAACCATTTGGGGAGTGAACCAGTGATGGAAGATCTCTGTCTCTCAGTCTCTCCCTCTCCGTAGCTGCCCTTCAAATAAATCATCTTTTTAAAGTGTATTTTAGTATTAAAAAAAAAACCTGAATCCATCTGTAGTTTTCATAGTACACATTTTCCTGAAGTTACAGGAGACGCAAGCGCGTAAATTTCTGGGCTGGGTCTGATGATGTCCAGGCTTGGAGCTCCCCCTGCTGCCTGATCCTGCCATGACGCGTTACACCTTGGTAGGCTGAGCTGGGCCCCAGGGGCCAAGCGGAGGGAAAACCAGGGCCCGGCGCTGCGGGCTGCCGAGCCTCAGGTCCACCTGTGGCTTCAGGTTGGAACCCAAGGCAGGCGTCATCTGGGGAGGCCGAGTTGCTCACCCATCAGCTCCACAGCCATGGGTGTGACCGCATCCACCCGTACCCATCTCTCCCCCAGCTCCTGTCTGTCCCACAGACTGTCCCACAGACGCTCGTCAGGGTGCTGTACCTGGGGAGGCCAGGCCTGGGAGCCGATGCTGCCTTCCCTGCCGGCCAGGGCTGCCTGGGTCCCTACACACGGGACAGCTGTCTGGGCCTCCTTGGGCCCCCTGTACTGAGTCTCCCTGGAGGTGGTAAGCCCATCCTGGGTGCTGCGGCTGCTGAGCAAGTGGCCGGAAGCTGGACGCCCTACCCTACACGATGAGGCTCTCGGGCAGGCACCTTGTGGCCTGCCAAGGTCAGGATGCCTGGGGAAGGGTTGACCAGGCGCCTGTGCACTTGGCAAGAACTTCCGGCTCCCCTGATTAGTTAACTTTATCACTTGGGGTCGTTTGAAATGTTAACTTGCGGGGCCGGTGCTGTGGCGCGTAAAGCCACGCCTGCGATGCCAGCATCCTATATGGGTGCTGGTTCAAGACCTGGCTGCTCCACTTCTGATCCAGCTCTCTGCTGATGCACCTGGGAAAGCAGCAGAGGATGACCCGAGTCCTTGGGCCCCTGCTTGCACCTGGGAGACACGGGCAGGTCTCCTGACTTCAACGTGGCCCCAGCCCTGGCCATTGCGGCCATCTGGGGAGTGAATCAATGGAGGGAAGATCTTTTTCTCTTTCTCTTTCTCTCCTCTCTAACTCTGCCTTTCAAATAAATTTTTAAAAATCTTTTTTAAAAAGTTGACTCGTATTCTAGAAGCTTCTGGTTTGCTTCAGTTTCTGGAGCTGGTGTCCTGACTCCGGCGGCCTCTGACAGCTGGGTAGTGGGAGGGGACAGTGTGTGGCCCGGGGCACACAGCACAGAAAGCTGGCCCCCAGGAGCTGTCTTCTGTGCTCCCAGCACCACTCCAGGGGGCGCTGCTCACACAGGCTGTGCAGAAGGAGTTCCCAGGGTCATAGTGGACTCTTCGTCCTTACCACCTCCCCCAGCTTCTCGCAGGTCTGGATTCTTTGCTGGCACTGGTCTGGGGGCCTGTCCTACTCCAAGCACTGAGGCCCTCCTGAGACCTGGGGGGCTGTGTCCAGGGCGCTGGCCCACGAGGTGCCTGATCAGATCTCCAGGGCCCAGTGTGAGCTCTAAAGGGACCCGTTCCAGAAATGACGCTGCCCATTTTGGTGCCCCGGGCAGCCCATTCACCTACGCCTCTTCTCAGCCCATTTAAAACCACCCCGAGTAGCCAGGCCCTGCATTCTCATGGGGTCACTTGAGGGCAGCCCTTCGTGAAGGCTAACAGAGGTTTATCACCCTGTGAGGTCAGAGGCTGTGGCCGTGAATACACATGGAGAAGCACCCTGGGAGAGGTGCTGGTGGTGCAGATGGAAAAGCCAGTGAGGCCACTGTCCTCAAACTGCTAGGTTTTTGTTTTGTGATATTTCTTTATTTTCACTTATCTTAGAGGAACAGAGACAGAGATAGGCAGAGAAAGATCTTTCATCTGCTGGTTCACTCCCCAAATGCTCACAACTGCCAGGGCTTGGCTGGGCCAAAGCCAGGAGCCCTGAACTCCATCTGGGTCTCCCCCATGGGTGGTAGGGACCCAAGTACTGAAGTCATCCCCTGCTGTTGCCCAGGTGCACATTAGCAGGAAGCTGGATCAGGAGAGGTTGGGGGCTGACACTGAGGCATAGCAGGTAAAGCCATCGCCTGCAGTGCCAGCATCCCATACGGGCGCTGGTTCGAGTCCCAGCTGCTCCACTTCCAGTCCAGCTCCCTGCTGATGTGCCTGGGAAAGCAGTGGAAGATGGCCCGAGTGCTTGGCCCTTGCACCCTCCTGAAGAAGCTCCAGGCCCCTGGTTTCAGATCAGCTCAGCTCTGGCCATTGCGGCCACTTGGGGAGTGAACCAGCAGATGGAAGACCTCTATCTCTTTGCCTCTGCGTCTGCCTCTCTGTAACTCTGCCTTTCAAATAAATAAAAATAAATCTTTCAAAACAAAAGCACAGGTGGGGCTGGGACCCACACGGTGCAGCTCCAGTGGCGTCCTCACCCATGGGTCCGCACGGGAAGGCCACAGTCACCGCCGGCTCGGGAAGACCATCTCCACCAGGCAGAGCGCCCCGCCCCGTGTGGTCCCAGGGTCCAAAGACTCTTACCTCTTACTCTCAAGTGAACGTTTCCCTTCACTGAAGAAAACGACAACTCAGTGACTTGACTTTTTCTTGGCTGGCGGGAGCTCAAGCCTGTCTTACCGTTTGGGACGGTTGTCCCTGCTCTGTCTCTTCTGGGGGTTTCTGGAGTGGCTGCAGCTGGTCAGCCTGCGTGAGAGCGCCTGCAGTCCGGGGCTCTGAGGTTTCTGTCCTTGTCCTCTCCCCAGGGTGCAGCAGCTGGAGGAGGAAAACACTGAGCTCCGGACGACGGTGACGCGGCTCAAGTCGCAGACGGAGAAGCTAGATGAGGTGAGCGGCAGGCCGGAGGACGCAGCCGAATCAGCCGAAGCCACGCAAGTGCTGTTGGCCCCGGGGGCCTCTGGCTCAGAGTTTCTGAGACTAAAAGCCGCCCTCCCCTCCATGGGAAATGCAAGGAAAGAAAACACGCGAATGGGGACTTGTGTGCCTGTGGTCGCAGTTTTCCAAGTGTTCTGCAGCGAATGTATTTTCCTGTATGGCGGGGGAAGCGATAGCCTTAAAGAGCCAAAGAAGTTTGCTTCTGTGCGGCTGACACCTCTGTCCCGCCCCGGCTGGCATCACCGAAGGGCGCAGGCCTGAGACACGGGGTGTTTCCTGAATCAGAGGATCTGGCCTTGCCTTTTCTTTTCTTTTTTTTCTTCTTTTTTTAAGATTTTATTTTTTAAAAAAAGATTTATGTATTTATTTGAAAGTCAGAATTACACACAGAAAGAGGAGAGGCAGAGAGAGAGAGAGAGAGAGGGCTTCCAACCACTGGTTCACTCCCCAATTGGCCACAATGGCTGGAGCTGCACCGATCCGAAGCCAGGAGCCAGGAGCTTCCTCCGGGTCTCCCACATGCATGCAGGGGCCGAAGGTCTTGGGCCATCTTCTGCTGCTTTCTCAGGCCATAGCAGAGAGCTGGATTGGAAGAAGAACAGCTGGGACCAGAACTGGTGCCCATATGGGATGCCAGCACTTCAAGCCAGGGCGTTAACCCACTGTGCTACAGCACCGGCCCCTAAGATTTTAATTTTTTTATTTGAAAGGTAAAGTTACAGAGACAGAGAGACTGAGATCTTCCATCTGCTGGTTCACTCCCCAGATGGCCATAGTGGCTGGGGCTGGGTCAGGCCAAAGCCAGAAACCTAGAGCTCCAATCAGGATTCCCGCATGGGTGCAGGGATCCAAGCACTTGGGCCCTCCTCCGCTGCTTTCCCTGGAGCATGAGCAGGGAGCTGGTTTGGAAGTGGAGCAGCTGGGGCAGGGACCACTGGCTACTTCCGTGAGCCGTGTCCTGGAGTGCTCTGTCCCTCTGCCACATGGAGGCGGCATCCCCAGGGAAGTCCTGGGCTGTGACATGCCCCTCTCTGGGCACTGTGCCCCAACCCACGTCTCCCCGGTTGCAGGAGCGGCAACGCATGTCCGACCGGCTGGAGGACACCAGCCTGCGGCTCAAGGATGAGATGGACCTGTACAAACGCATGATGGACAAGCTGCGCCAGAACCGCCTCGAGTTCCAGAAGGAGCGGGAGGCCACCCAGGAGGTGAGTCCCAGCCCAGAGGGCCGCAGGGCTGCCGCCGGCGTCCCCGTCCCCGCCAACGGCCTCTCCCCCTCGCAGCTCATCGAGGACTTGCGGAAGGAGCTGGAGCACCTGCAGATGTACAAGCTGGACTGCGAGCGGCCTGGCCGGGGACGCAGCTCGTCGTCCAGCCTGGGCGAGTTCAACGCCAGGGCCCGCGAAGTGGAGCTGGAGCACGAGGTCAAGCGGCTGAAGCAGGTGGGCCCCGGGGCCCCTGCCCAGCGAGCCAAGGGGGTCACGTCAGCCAGGTGGGCTGGCTGGACAGGGCGCCGGCTCGGGGGGCCGGGAGAGGTGGGAGCACCTGTCCTGCCTGCTCCTTGCCGCAGCCCTCCTGTCAGGCCTGGCCTCCCATTTCCCAGCTCAGGACCAGTGATTCCTCCCAGCCTTCTCTGGTGGAAATCCAGGCGTCTTCCCCGTGTGTCCATCAAAAGAGGCAGCACTGCCCCCGGGCTTGGTGCTTGGGGTGGAGGAGGAGGCTGGGCCCAGCTGCACACCAGGGCCTGGCTCTGCGGCTGTCCCCAGAGACCCTGGGCCCAAGGTTCCCTTCCGTGTGCACTCCCCCCAGGAGACCAGTCGGGCTGGGAGCAGTAGCAGGAAGGGGCAGTGACCCAAAGGGAAGTGGTCCCCCTGGCCAGAGACTCCTCGTCTGTGCCTCCTGCCACCGCCAAGGGGCTTCCAGGCCCCGGGCTGAGTGTCAGGAACCTTGAGACAAGAGTGGGTACGTGGGCTGTGAGCAAGATCTGGGTGGTCACCACAGGTCAGCTGTCCTGGGGAGCAGGGGCCCAGGCTGGAGGCGACCTGCCCACAGGCAGTGTCCCCTCACAGGGCCCTGAGAGGCAGGGACAGCCAGGGGCCACGCTGCTATCTGGAAGCACAGTTTCCCAGGGTGAGGCCATAACCCTGAACTGCCCCTTCTGCGCCGTCCACCCCCGACGCCTCCCGCACACGCCCCTTTGGGGAGGGGCCTCCGGCCGTCGGAAGAGGGCAGGTACGGAGAGGTGGGTTCCTGGGTGCTCCCAGGAGTTGACGTTGCCTGCGCCCGGCTTCCCGTAGGAGAATCACAAGCTTCGGGATCAGAACGACGACCTGAACGGCCAGATCCTGAGCCTCAGCCTCTACGAAGCAAAGAACCTGTTTGCCACGCAGACCAAAGCCCAGTCCCTGGCTGCCGAAATCGACACGGCCTCACGCGACGAGGTAGGCGGGGCCCCCTGCTGGCTCCCCTGGCGGGGCTGAGCTGCTGCTTTTGCTCTTGTCCTGGCGTCCACGTGCTGAGGTGGGGCCCGGGGTCCCACTGCCCAGGGTTTCCTGAGCCCCTCTGTCAAGGGGCACTGGCCCGCCCCAAGCTGGGGATCTGGGCCCCGCCCATGCGCTGCCCCAGCCCCGGCCTCTCACCTGTCCGTCCCCTTCCCTTCAGCTCATGGAAGCCCTGAAGGAGCAGGAGGAGATCAACTTCCGGCTGCGGCAGTACATGGACAAGATCATCCTCGCCATCCTGGACCACAACCCCTCCATCCTGGAGATCAAACACTGAGTTCAGGGGGCTGGCTGCAGAGCAGCCTCAGGACCCCGGGGCCACGGGGCGGGCCCTGCCCGAGGCCGCGGGCCCACGCTGTAAATGTATCTGCGGCCACCACGCGTCCCGTGTGCTGGTTTGTACATGGGGAGGCTGTGCACGCGCCAGGCGTGAGCGTGGGGCCGTGGCTGGGGCTGACGTGTGTGCGGGTCCTGCCCATGCACTTTAACCCCTCGGCAAGGGGCAGAGGGGACTGGAGGAGGGAGGGGCCAGGTCCACTCGCAGGAGTTGCTGTAATAACAAGGACTGGATAAATGACTCTACCTCTGGGGATAAGGATTAAAGAGTAATCTAGTGAGATGGTGTGTGCACCCCACCCCACCCCCACGCGTGGGGACATCATGGTTCCTTCCTGGAGTCGGCCCTCGCCAGCCTCTCTGGCACCTTTCAGCCCAGGTGCTGGACCCCAGAGAGGAGGAAGGGGGCCTTTGTGGCTGGGCCCTCGCTTGCGCCCTGCCCCGGCCAGCACCCTCGGCAAGGCAGGTGCCCAGCGTCCAAGGGTCTTGGGGGTGCCGAGGAGCAGCAGAGTTGTTGGCGTTTTTCAGGTTCTTCCCGCAAGCCCCATCCCTGCCTGCCCATCCCCCCCTTTCTGTTCTTGACTTTGAGATGATGAAAAAAGCAGCAGCATTTACTTGGGTGTGAAATGGAAGGAGAAATGGGGGGCCGGGAGGAGGTAGAGCAGGTGTCGGCGTTGGGCAGCACTCACCGGGTCAGCATCCTGCCCGGGTGCGGGAGTGGACATCCCGCCTCACCGGCCGTCCCATGCTCTGGGCAGCGTGCTGAGGGCCGCCCTTGGCTTTGGGCTTCAGAAGCTGAGCTCTGGGCTGCTCTCGGGTGGTAGCCAGGTGCCCTCGCTGCAGGTTTTAGAAACAGCGTCCCCGGTGCTCAGCCAGTGGGCGGCCACAGTGCTGGCTGACACAGGGCCGGCAGGGTCGCAGGGAAGCCGTCTGCCACACTCCTGAGCTGGGGTGGGATTCACACCGCGGGTCTCTGACACCGTCCCGCGCTCCCGGCGGCCGAGAGTGGGTGCAGCATTGGCTTCAGGGTTCCTTGTGTATCCCCCTTAGTAGGACGCGTGGCACGTTTCCTTCCTCCACATGCATGTGGGCTGGTTCGCGTCACCTCTCGTGTGAAGAGAAGGTTAGGGCATGTGGGGAGGGGAGGTCAGTGGGACAGGGTGTGTGCCCCGGCCGGCAGAGGCAGGGCCGCGGCCAGTGCCTGTCTTCAGACCACTGTGGCCGACTTGTGCTTCTACTGGGTGCTGCGCTCCCCCTAGCCGTGTATGTGGCGTTGGTTCACGTTGTGTTGATCAGACTCAGGGCTCTGGGGCCACACACCACTGCCCAGGAGCCTGGGCCAGGGGCTGGGTCCCCAGCAGACTTGGAACACCGGGCTCCTTGGGTACCCCAGGACCTGAGAACACGCAGACAGATGGCATGAGGAGTGGGTCTGTGGCAATGACCTAAGACAACCCAGGGTGAGGGGGCTCTGGGCTGGCTTCCACGCAGGCAGAGGTCCTGCAGGGAGGCCAGAGGGTCCTCGTCCGTCCCCCTGCCCCAGGAGGAGTGTTTGCTGTGCACATGCTCTGAGCTGCGGAGTCACTGCTGTGGGAAGCAGTTCTGCGGCAAGGACGGGAAAGGCGCGTCTGCCTGCAGCGTTCTGCCAGCTCCTCCCTGTAGGGGGCGCCGTGGAACAGACCTCCTATGAAGCAGAGGGGCCTGTTAACTGAGGGGCTAGGTTCCATGGGACACGCACCCCACGTCCAGCCTTCTGGCCTTCACCTGCCATCTGTCTCTTAGAAAACCTCATCTTGTCAACTTGGCGTTTCAAGGTCATCTATGTTTTTTATAAACCTGTCTGAGCTTGTGAGCTGGGCGGACAGGGGCAGAGGCCCCGGACTCCACGAGCTGGTTCCAGACCATTAGGTGGCGGGGGAGAGCCTGCTCGCCCCATGCCCTGCCTCCTCGCTCCTCTGTCAGCAGTGGGGCTGCTGCAGAGCACACAGATCCCCATGAAGCCTACAGCAGACACGTCTTAGGATAAGTACGTTCCCGGCAACACTTGGGAGATACTTTAAATGGGGAGATGTTAAAAATGCCCGGACCCAGACGTCCGGTTTCATGGGTGTGGGTGCTGGCGTCCCGTGATGAGCCTAATCTAACCGGTGAGCTCCATGTGTTGGGGGCTGCTAAACCCAGCAGAGCTCAGCAGTAGCTGCCCTGAGGCGCTGGGGTGCGCTCCCACAAACACAGCCACGGGGGTACATGGTCAGCTGAGCCTCAGGGAAGGTACGTTCAGTATCTGGTAGAAAGCTAGTGCCCGCGTCCAGCGAGGCTGCTCCATGGGTGGGCACGAGGAAACTCTCGTAAAAATCAAGAATATGTACGCATATACACAGACACACGCACGCTTCAAATCGGCCAGAGTTAGAGCTCGGTCTTTGTGTGTTAAATCAGTAGATTTCTTTGAGTATTAACAAGAGGGAAGTTCCTTTTCCTTGATTTTATTTCCGACCTATTAAAAAACTCAAAGCTCAACAACCTCCCAAAGTGACTGGCCTCTAAAATGCGGGTTCTCAATCTTGGCTCAGAACACCCAGGAGACTTAAAAAGCATCAGGTTTAGTTTTTGTGGGGGCATCTAGGTGTGTAAAGACCGCCCCAGCTGACAGCCTGTGCAGCCAGAGGCAGGGCCCCGACCCACGAGGCTGTGGGCCGGAGGTGGAGGAAGCCGGCGGCAGTGACCGCTGGGCCTATTGAGCCTGCCGCTGAGTGACCCGAGTCCTCGGGCTGGGAGGCCGGACGGCTTCCGACGCTGATGGATCCAGCTGTTCGCGGTGGCGCTCTGTCCAGGAGGCGGGCACGTTGGGATATACTCACGTGGGCCACAGGCCCATCCCTGAGTGGGGAAAGAGGGAGTCAGCTGGGAACTGACAAGTGGGGCTGGCCCTGGAAACCAGCAGGAGCCGGAACCAGGCTCGTGGGGTTCCCCTCTGATTTGTTTCCTGCCTGGGTAGGTGAGGGATGCCCCAGCTCCTCCCCCATTAGCAGCCCAAACAGCGTCCCTGCTTGCGCCTGGAGCTGCAGGAGAAGCCGCTGCAGGTCTGCTTCCTGGCCCAGGAGGACACCTGGAGGGCTCTGTGGTCCAGCGAGGGGCTTCGTGGCTGGACAGAGTCTGTGGGGGACAGCAGGACCCAGTGCAGCAGGCCCCTTTTTGTGGCCTGTGTCTTGGGCATTCGCAAATCTCGGTGTGACTGGGACAGGCGACGGTTCCAGAGGTCACCCCGTGGAGCTCAGTGGCCCCTAGAGGCTTGAGGTGGAGTCTGGATTGAGGAGAGGGTCGGGCAGGACTGCAGGGCTGCTGCCCACCAGCCTTTCCTCCGAGCCCTGACTCTCCCTTGGGGACCCAGGGTCTCCCCTCTGGGGCGACACTTCAGGCTGGTAAGACTGAGCTGTGCCCCCACGAGGGTCCTCACGTTGGCGGGGCCATGTCCTTGGGGGCCTTTGGGCACTGTGCCCCCAGGTCCTGACTCCCTGCTGAGTGCCTGCCAGCAGGACACCCCTGAGGGTCTTGTGCCGCACTCTCTGCTGCCCACTCTGGGGAAAATCTGTCCTCCAGAGAGGTTTGTGTGCAGTAAGGTGTGATGCCAACATGCTCACTGGGAGCTCGCCCTCCCATAGGACCTCCGTGTCTGGCCTCGTAGGCGCCTTCCCTTTCCATTGTGACCGTAACGTAGCGATGTCTGCTCCAGAGCCGCCAGTCCGGGGTAGCATCCCGGGGCCCCTGCCTCCCACTGGGCCCCGGCTGCTTTGCTGTGCTGCACAGGCTGTGTTTCGTCTGCATGGTTTGGGGTCTTTGTCCTTGTGCCTTCTCTTCCCTGTCCCCACTGTACAGGATTCCCCGCGTCACCCCACTGCCGCCTTTTGTACGTGTCTCGTCTGCCCCGTTTCCCGAGCCCTCCAGCGAGCGAGGCCTCCCCGCCCACTCAGCCGCGTAGACATGGTGACTTTGTACAGAATCTTCCACTGTTGTCTTAAGCGTGGGGGCTAGGACCCCCCGAGTCCCTCAGCCAGCCTGCAGCTAGTTTAGAAGCCTTGCGTCCCAGAGAAGGGGAACTGTATAGAGCAGCTTCTCCCACAAGCCCCTTCCCCTGCCCCTGCAGGGGCGGCTCCGGTGTGCAATGGCCACGCCCCTCGCCCTACCCCCGGAGGAAGGCCTTGCAGTGGCTCCCAGGGCTTGGCAATGGCCTTGGTTTAGGGTCATGGCATCTGGTGTCTGGGACAGCCGCGGGCCCCAGCTGGGCTGAGGAAGAGGCTTTTCGCTGCTGTCTCTGCCTGCTGTTAACACCTGCCCAGCCCTTCCTCATCTGCCGATGGTGCTCAGACCAGAGTGCCATTAAACACCCAGCCCACGTCAGGGTCTCCATCGGATGGTGCGACGCGGTGGTCCCTTGGCCCGCTGGCTCCTGTCCTTCCAGCTCTCGCCAGCCCGTCATCCGGGTCTCCTGGGGCCTGGTGGACTCACGCCCAAGGGTTGGTAGATGGCTTCTGAGTCTCCGTGGGATTCAGCTGGAGGGTTTTGCCCCAGGAGCCTGCGTCTGGGAACAGGCTTAGCTTTAGGGCCAGGGTGGGGCGTCTGCTTGCAGCTTGCAGGAAGGAAAGTGTGGTGTGAGCCCCCGGGCTGCGTCCCAGGGTCCCCGTGCTCCAGTCTCCAGCCTGCTTCCAGCCAGAGGGCATGGGCTGCGGCCTGGCAGGCTCCTTCCAGGGAACTGTAATGTACAGACCAAGGTGTAAATAAACTGTTTTTCCTGCCTGACTTAACTGTGAGTTTCTGTAGCTGCAAGAGGAAGAGGGAAGGAAGTCCAGCCCGGGTCTTGTTTGCAGGGCTGAGTGTGACAGTCTCCCTTGGAAGAGCCGGCCCTGCAGTGTGCAGTGTAGCAAGGATCACTGTGCCTGGGGGAGGAGATGTGGATCCCAGGAGCCCCAGGTATACCACATCCCAGCCAGAGCCCTGCTTCCCCTGTGGCAACCACCAAGACCCCCAGGCCGGAGTCTTCCACTCAGGGCTGGTGTCTGCCACACCCAGGGGTAGGGAGGCAGCCCCAGAGGGAGACCCCCAGGCCCCCACACTTCTGCCCTCTCCTGGTCTGTCCCTTTTATTACGGAATTCCAGGTATCAAAAGGACTTCACAGCACAGCCAGGCCCAGCGTCGGCCTTGGCCCCTGTGCCAGGGCCCTCGGTGTGGGAGACAGCTCCCCGCTCGCTGCATTTACGCGGCCCCCGGGGCCTGCGGGCTTCTGTGTTCTCCGGGACCTTTATTCCCTCCTCCTTCCTGATGGCACCTTCCTTCCACTGAGGTTTGCCAGGCTCAACAAATACAAACCCAGAACACCCAGTGCGTGTGACGTTCAGAGAAATAACCAGGTGAGCCCCGTCTTGACCCTGTCTGCGAAGACTGCTTCCAAATAGGGTCCCAGTCACAGGTGCAGGGTTTCAGAGCTCAACATAGCCTGGGCAAGGGGCACGTCTCAACACACAGCACCTGTTAGAGGAGGCCAACAGAGTTGCCTGTTGCCATTCAGGAGGAAGGTGGGGCAAGCGCCACTGCTATACAGGGTGTCTCCTCTGCCCAGGTGTGGTCCCCTTGCACCAGTCAGGAACGCATCCTGACAGCCCTCGCCATTGCAGACAACGCCATCCCTACACCCCTGAGACGTCACAGCATCGCAAAGCTGTTTTGCTGTTGGATCCCGACTCAAATTCAAGAGCCTTTAAAAAAAAAAAAAAAAGCCGATTTGAGTCCCAGCTGCTCTACTTCCAATCCAGCTCTCTGCTATGGCTCGGGAATGCAGTGGAGGATGGCCCAAGTCCCACCAGTGTGGGAGACCCTGAGAAAGCCCCTGGCTCCGGATCGGTGCAGCTCCAGCCATTGTGGTCATCTGGGGAGTGAACCAGCAGATGGAAGACTCTCTCTCTCTGCCTCTCCTTTTCTGTCTGTATAACTCTGACTTTAAATAAATAAATCTTAAAAAAAAAAAAAGCCTTTTAGTGTCACCTGCTGGGCTCAGGCCAAAGCCTCCTGAATGGGCCAAAAAGTTGGTGCAGAAATCACTCAAGCAACCAGCGGAACCTTCTGGGAAGCATGTGCGCGCCCTAGGGACGGGGAGAAGCAAGGCCTCTGTCCCTGCAGGAGGGGAGAGAGCAGTGAGCATGCCCAAGGGAAGGCCTGGAGGGGTCTGGGGAGCTGGGGGTGCAGGGGCTTCCCCCAAGGAAAAGGCTTTTTAGCACAGCCCTGAAGGACTGTGGGGTTTAGGGAGTGCACCTGTGTCAACTCCCAGGGTCCTGTGCTGGGAGGCGGGCCAGCGGGTAGAGCTGCAGGGCCAAGGTGGTTCTAACAGATACATTAAGCAGATGTCTCGGCTGGCGCCGCAGCTCAGTAGGCTAATCCTCCGCCTAGCGGCGCCGGCACACCAGGTTCTAGTCCTGGTCGGGGCACTGGATTCTGTCCCTGTTGCCCCTCTTCCAGGCCAGCTCTCTGCTGTGGCCAGGGAGTGCAGTGGAGGATGGCCCAAGTGCATGGGCCCTGCACCCCATGGGAGACCAGGATAAGCACCTGGTTCCTGCCAACGGATAGGCGCGGTGTGCCGGCCTGCAGCGCGCCGGCCGCGGCAGCCATTGGAGGGTGAACCAACGGCAAAGGAAGACCTTTCTCTCTCTCTCACTGTCCACTCTGCCTGTCCAAAAAAAAAAAAGAGATACATTAAGCAGATGTCTCATCAGTGCCTAATGGAGGCCCTCCTAATGGAGGCCCGGTATAGGGGTGAGGGCTGGGCTTAGCATGGTGAGCAAAGCACACACTCCCCACCTGCACCGCACAGGGAGTGAGCCTCCAGAGAGGTTCTGACAGCCAGAGTGCCCTGGGGCGTTCCATCCACTCACCCCATCCTGAGCCAGTTACTCAGGGGTGGGGCTCGGCCCCTGGGGCTATCCGAGCACTTCCCAGGCGATGCGGATGTGCGGCCATGTGTGGCCAGGTGAGGTTGCTGAGGCTGGTGGCCAGGGCACTGGACATCACCTCAGAAGCATCAGCAGAGACCTGGAGGAGGAGGAGGTGGTGGTGGCCAGGTAAGGGGGCTGGGGGTGGGACAGGGGGAGCGCCGAGTTGAAGAGGCAAAGCCAGAGAGGGCACAGCGGAGCAAAGGCCGTGGAGCGGGAGGCAGGCAGCAGGGCCCCGGGCCAGCTCTGGCGGATTTGAAGCTGGAACTGGCCTGGCTGGGTCGAGAGCGGGTGAGCAAAGTACGCCGTGCGGTGCAGGGGGAGACACTGGGGGCATGTGGGAAAGCCCCGACAGACTTGAAAGGCAAATACTTTCTGGGCCAAAGGGATCCCTGGTGTTTCTCTTCTTAGAAGGACCACAGCCTTTTGGACTAGGGCGCTACGTGTATGACTTCATGGAGCCGTAATTACCGCTCCCCCACCCCCCACAAGCCCTTAGCTTCAAATATAGTCGCGGAGCTTCCACTTACGGATTTGGGCTGGGGTGGGGCAGGGCACAATTCAGTCTGTAATAGGCAAAACTTCCTTTTCTTTCCTTTTTACTTACTTATTTTTTTCCTTTGATATGAATGAGGAGCTGGAATCCCCAGGCTTTGGTGCTAGGGAGCCAGGCTTCTCCGTCTTACTGAGTGGAAGGCTCTTGCTCAACAAACCTGTTTATCCAGAAAAATGACTAAACCCAAGGGTGGAAAAAGCCATTTCTGCAACCCCCGACTTCCCAAGCCAGGCTTCGGGGGCCCAGGCTGTCTGGAGCAGCAGGTGGCAGCACCGCCAGCCAGAGGGCCGGTCTCTGGCTGGGGCAGCCATGAGGGCCTCTTCCCTTTGGGTCATGTCCAGCTGGGTGCCTGCTCTTTGGATCCCTGGGGATGCTGGAGTAGGATCAGTCTTCGCTGTATGCCCTCCCCCTGGGCTTAACACACTGCTTGTTCCACAAGAGGCCCCCCCCGGGGGGGGGGGTGGTTAATAATAACTCACATTTACCTGGGGCCTGCTGTCTGTCAGGCCGTGTCCTCCAACACCCAGCAATCCAGCCCGGGCAGCTGGTAGGGAGACGCACAGGACAGAACCCGACAGACTCCCCGAGCGGAGCGGTGGGTTGTGCAGACTGGAAAGGGGCCATGGAAGGTGGTGGTGGGGTACTTCAGGGAGAAGGCAGGACACCTGCTGGGCCCTCGGGCAGGATCAGCTCTCGTAAGAGGGCGTGGGAGACAGGGCAGGGTCCGGTGCTCGGGGCACTGGCAAGCTGGCACACACTGGGCAGGAGCAGAAGGGGCCAGGGAAGGAAGGCAGTGTCACTGCCCAGGGTGGCCCTCCCATGGGCTGAGCACGTCACCTAGCACGCCAAGTCCACGGCGGTGAGTCTGTGGCCTTCAGAGCCCAGGAGCCATCAGCCAGCCAGTCCTTCCTGGAACCCACCAGGTGGCTGGCACGGGGGCTGCAGCGAGTCACCTCACACTCCTGCCACCCCTGCCTAGGCCCTGGCTCTCACTCCAAACCCAAGCTCCCATCCTGATGCTGGCATCTACCTTGGCCTTGAACTCCACAGCGCTGGTGTGGCCTCGGCGGAGAAGGGCTGGAGTTTCTGAAAGGCTCAAACCCAGAGTGTGCAGGCTCTAAGGCCCCAGCCTCTTCCTACAGCCTGGCTAGTGGCACCCCGCCCGGCGGAGCAGTGCGCCTCCTCTCCTGCCTCTCCAGTCCAGCGGGGCCCTCTGCCGAGAACGCAGCTCCTCGGGCTCTATGGTGAACTCAGACTTGGCCTTCCACGCTTAGCCAGGCCACCAGGCTACTCCCGACCGGAAGCTGGGTCTGTTCTGTGAACCTGGGCTCAGGAGGGCAGAAGGGCTGAAAGGAGCCTGGGCAAGAATCTCATCCACTTCCCTCCAGGGAAGGCAGCAATGGGAGGCGGTGCTCTGTGGTGGGGGGTGGAGACAAAGGAGGCCACGCCTTCCGTCTGCATCCCTGGCTGCACTCAGCAGAAGGCCCCACCCCCCACGGGGCTCTCGGCTAGTGCACATGCCCACAGTCTGAGCTAGAAACAACAAGGCATTTATTTTGGGTTGACCAAACCGGGAGCAAGATTGTGTTATGACCCAAAAACCAGGCGTTTCAAGCATGCAGTTAGAAGTTGCATACAGTTTGCTCTGAGGAGGGTCATACATATTCATTAAGCTTCCGGAAAGTTCTGAAAAGGGCTGTGGATCTTTCAAAGGGGCCAGGTAGTGCAGGCATTAGGCCTGGCAGCTGCCATGCTGTGTCGCAGTGCCTGGTTTTCAGTTCCAGCTTCGGCTCCTCATTCAAGCTTCCTGCGAACGCACTCTGGGAAGCTCAAGGGCTGGGGTCCCTGCCACCCACATGGGAGACGGGTGTGGAGCTCCTGGCTCTGTCGGTTTCAGCCTGGCCTGGTCCTGGCCATCGCAGGCATCTAAGGAGTGACCCAGCGAGCGGGGGAGGCCTCTCCCCATGTCTGTGCACGCCTTCCATGTTCAGTTGGAGATTTGACATTGCAATGAGGCGTTTGGGGGATTTCTATGTCAGAAAGGGAAGGCACCAGTGGGACCGCAGCCACAGCTGGATGGGGATCACAGCTGTGCCGAGAAGTGTGCGCCCCTGAGCTGCAGCTTCATGCCATGGCTTCTGTTTGCAAGGTCACTTGGTTACCTTCCACTCGGTCTGAGTGGACGCTAGGTTATTTTCTTTGGGGTGGGGGGTTTAGGTAGGAGCCAAGCCCAGGGCTGAAACCAAGCAAAGCACAGAGTCGG